TCTGCTTTTTCTTCTTATTCTTATTTATCTTCTCTTGTTTCCTATGTTTGTTTTGAAATACAAAAGGCGGAAAGAGTTGATTTCTGATATAATTACTGATATTACCAGAAAAAAAAATGGAAGAATCAATAGCATTAAAATGTCACCAACTAATTCTTCGAAAAAACTGTTTTCTTACCTTTAGGAAAAATGTGATTTTTGAATTACCAAAAAAAGAAATGAATAAGTTAAGAAAAGAAGGAGGAAGTCCTTGACTCTTTCCTCGATATCTAAACGTCAGTCCGGAATTTAATGAAGTGACAGTCCACCGAGAGATCAAAATAATTTGATCATTTAGGGTACCGTGATTTCAAGCATGATTTAGTACTACAAAGGCCTGTTAGAGGTATAAATTGATATTCAGTATAAAAAGGATTGTATGTATATTCAAGTTAAATACGTCTATTTTCATGACAGATTAAAAGTTTTAGGAAATATGTCTAATTCATTGATATGCAGCAATAGTGTCCTATTCAAATACACTTTATTGTCTAAAAAAAGTTGTTTTCTCCGGAAAAAGAAGATCTTTAACGGAGTACTATCATAACAAACGTACTTTTTTATCACTAGAAGAATATTTGGCTGGAATAAATATAAGGATTAGGAAGAATTACATTTTCATTAATATCGACAACTAACTTTGATTCTAAAAGCGTTAGCCAATGCAGATACGATGAAAGATCGCCTGTACGTTGCATGTCTTTCTTAGCCTTAAGGCACTGTATACTTCTACTGTTCAGAGAGAAACAACCTATTTTTAAGTAATACTTCTCTAATCAACGAGAACTTTACAACCATCAAATCAATCGATATTGTTATCGTTTAACATTGTGTACCTTGAAACAAATACCAGGAATTCAAGAGGAGTAAGAGAAAGAAAAGAATGACTGGAAAGACAACAACGTTATAACGTTATTCGTTGGTTTACAGGTTTGGATATGAATGCATCCATTCGTTTCTTTCACCGAGCCCTCTTCAAAAGTGTTCGAAGAGGTAACAAACGACCGGTGGGTACTTCGTTTGCATAAAAAGCACAGAAGAATGGGACGCGCGATGTGCGCCATGATTGAGGACGACACACATTCTTTCCTCCACTTTGTGCTTCTCTGGCGCTTCATTTTGAAGCAAGCAAAATGTTACTTTGTAATATTGCACAATTTCATACATGTATGATTGCTGCTTGATGATTCCTAGGTGAGAAGACCGCTTATTGATTCAGTGGTCATTAAGACCTGTTCTGTATAGTTATGGCTAAAAGCGCTTGAATTGTTTATCATCATTTATAGCAGATGGCCAGTAAATAGAACAAGGCAAGAAGGAATATATTTTCCAATTATGATGGCTGCTGCTGTGCTGACCAATGAAACAACGTCGTAGCTTAGCAGTAGTGAGTGCTTCATAATGTCACAGGGCTGAAAAAGATGTCCAAGAAAGATAGCCTGGACAAGTTTTCCTATATATACCAATTCCTTAGTCGTTTCTCAATTGTCGTGCCATGTCATTCATTCAGGTGATTACAATGAAGGATTTAAAGAAGAATAAATAAAAAACGCTAAAAGGTAAAACGTTAAGAGATGAAGCTGAAAGAAAATTATCAGATCTTAATATTAGAGCAATAAGATTGAAAAGCATTAGGTCAAATTTGATCTCGGCTACAGTTCCATTTCCTCTTATCGATCTCAGATCGATTCAAATGTGAGATTGAGAAAGGATGATAGTTGGCAGTGAAGAATTATGATTTGACAGATACATTCCATTCACATGAAACATAATTGAAAACGCATTGCGTTAGCGGAATGGGCACCAACGGTAAGTTATAAGAACCAGGTAAACAAATACGATTGCTGTTTGTTAGCTATGAAACATGGAATTCTTTTGCATGCAAAAGATAGGCTCCAATTGTGTCAGTTTCACCTTAGTTTTAAGCCGGGATATGGTCACTTCCACATGATAATTACAGCTTTGATGAATCTTCACTTGTTAATTTGTTAACATATGAATGATGAATAGAATACTTGTCAATAATAATCGTAAATTACTCTTAAAACAAAAATCTTTTCCGAATACTTCCCCAATTCTGATTTGCCTTCTTGATAAAAGTATCATTTTGAATATTGAAGCGATAGAAATCCACTTAACTTTAAGATTTTTTAAATGTATCACCGATATCAAGCTAACGAAGTTTTCACGCTACTTGATATTTTTTTTTTTTTTTGCCAATTATACGGTCTAAAAATCGAACGGAATGCGCAGAATTATGTTATTCCCCAAATATTTCAAAAAAAACAGATGGAAGAAAACTTCACATAAGTTATTATGATCGAACAGCGGCATTCATTCTAAAACTAAAACGACCCAAAAAAATTCGACAACTTCTAAAACTCCAGTAGACAAGCTGAAGCTTTGTTTTAATACATTGTTATAAACCATAAAGCTGTCCGGTTTAATTCCGGTTTAAGAAACCGGTTTAATTCCTCAAGTAGCATTTTCAATTTGCATTGATTTGATACAGTGATAGTGCCATACAAAATTATTTTCATGCTTTCTTAAATCTTAACACGATAATTGTGCTATCACTACTAGCATCAAGAATTTGCCCAGTCAGAAGTGGGTACCCAGTTAGTATAAGCCTACGCCAGTTTTTCCACTCCTCTGGTTTTCAGATAAGTATAGATTTAAGATTGTCTAGAATTTCCAATGCTAAATAATGCTTAGGTCTTAATTCTTTAGATATTCCTACCTACTTTTTGTTATTTCGATCATTTACGATATAAAACTTCAAGTTGCTACGACATCTGAGAATGGATTAATTTATTGGGAATTTAAGCAGTTTCTAAGTGAAATAACGATTGGCAAACTCAAAAGGAAGGCCTTATAAATGATGTCGCAACCATTTCGAGGTGTCACAGATGACAGCTGTTCGTTTCATCCCTTGCTCAACTTACCCGTATCCATAAATAATGTTCTGAAATTTTCCATATTCAAAGAAAAAGTTGCCGAGAACCGGACCAGTCGCCAGAGATATAGGTAATAAAGTAATGAAGGTCATTCGACTGATGATGCTATAATCGTCCTTTAATCGGTTATAAATTGCTTTACGTTATTGATAGTTTTCTATTCTATCCTTTCCATTATATCAGTTTTATCTGATTCACTCCTTACCCATCAAAATCACTTGAAAAAGCTAAGTTCAAGATCAGATAATACTTCTTTTGCAATCAGCAAAAAAGCAATTTCTGGTCACATATGAATTCATATATCATTTAAACTTTTTGTGACTTGTCATTTACACCTTCTGGCCACTTCTGATATTAAAAATTCCAAAATAAGATGCCAGCTTCAATTTTTGACTTCTCATTTCATAACCATGGCGAATTCGTTTCCATTTCTGATCATAAGAAAGTATAGCGATTGAGTTCATTTTAATTTACCAAATTATCCAGAGACCTGAAAAAATCCCCAGCCAAATTGTACACAGAAAACTCCCAATAATTTATTCTTATAGAATCTAAAGATAACAACGATTCTGCACAAAATATTGAGGTCAACTTGAGTTTCAAATGAAAATGAATGGGTTAATCTGAGCTTCAAATAAAACAAAAACAGGTTTTCCTCATGAATGCTCTACAATTTCAAGCCTCGACTAAGTTCAAATCTTCTATATAATTCCAAATTTCCATTAACTTGAAATCCCAGCCATATGCTCTAAATGAAACGGTATTCACAATGATAACAATGAACAAATAATTATCCTGTACACTGCTGGTTTCCCACTTCTTATTACCACAACAGACAAAGACAACGATCCGGACTTCCTTCCGGCGACCTTGAAATGAACGATGATGAGACGATGGCTCTCCTGTAGATAGTATAATTACCCATCTGACGAGTGAGTATCACAGAAGCAGAGAACGCGGAACAAAACCGATTAATTCATTTGTTTACTAAAAAGCAGAAATAGCAACCTCAAGCCGTCGATTTTCGACAGGGGAAAGAGAATAGTAGTGGAAATTTCTGAATTAACCTAACCATAACATTTAATAAAAGTCATGCATTCAATTTGAAGTGATTAAGGATTAAAGAACAGAAATTTCGTAATTCGACACCGAAGTGATGATGAACTTCGCCACGAAATGAACTCAATAAAGTGAGATGAGCTACAAAAAAACTTTATGTAATTTTATGCAAAGTTTTATTTTAAAATCCTTGCTATATTTTGAAAAAAACCTATAAGAACCAAAGGGTTAGCAATTTATGGCTTACAAAGATGGAACATATGAACCGGTTTTTTTTTGCATTCATTCAACAAAAGGAAAAACAAATAAAAATTGAGAGCATTTATGACACTAACACAGACAAACTGATAAACTGTTAACATACCAAAATATTTTGACGCTTTTCTGAGGATGAACAATGGCCAGAACCAAAGATTAAATATCAGCCATTCCTAAAATATTTCTTAGGACGCCACGAATTAATCTATCATCCTACGAGTTTAAAGACCAACCAACCAAAGGGAGAATTGCTTTTGCCAGACATTCCTCTGAAAAGCACGAGGACTGAAGACGAAGACTACATAATCACTTGCGTCCAGTTCCTTTCGAATTCAAAGATCAAACTTACTATTAAATATTTCTTTAAAAAATTACGCATGAAACCACCGCGATATTTATAAATAAAATGAGACCAGATGAGTAAACATTACATTTTGGAGAATTAAAGGAAAGTTATTCATGGGAAAGACGTCTACCAAGTTAATAAATAAATAAATATATGAATGAGCAAAACGAAATATTTCCTAAAATAAAAACTGAAAAACAAAATTTAATAATTAGACCGAAAACTCTCCTGGATTAAGTCGAAACAAAATCCTTGTACTGAAAAAGATCAAAATCTGTTATGCAGAAAAAAATTTTTAAAAACGGTGTAAGATCTCCCAAATATCTAATTTCCAGAATCCCTTCCTTCTCCAGGTTAGCTTCGTTCATGTCCTCTCAAAAAAGCTTTTCTTGGTTTATTCGTACAAAATTCTTAAAGAACATTAAGCCTCAAGACAGAAGTAAATCTTAAAACAGCATCATCAAAACGATAGGCAGAAAGTGGCTTAGTATCGGAAAAGAAACTGCAAAACAACTCTAACTTGGCGACAAGGTGTCGTCGAAGATTTGCATAAGAGCAGTAAATTCATGCGATTGTGATTTATTCATACGATCCGCCAACAACGTAGCTTTAACTCTTATATTTGTTAGCTGCTGCATACACCTGGAAGACGGTGAATTAACAGAAATAAAAACTGAAAATTAGATAGCAAAGATACAAACTGAAGAACCAGTGAGCAAATATATAGCATCATTCTGGCCGAGCACAAACGAAATAATCTCTATCTACTCATATTAAAAAACTATGGTACTTTTATGGCACATAAATTTAATGCTAATACTTCTGCTAATGCGAATCCCCAAACTAGATTCTACAATCTGAAGATTTCAATACGATTGTAAATGGCAAAAAATGCTTCAGATATTTATTAAATGCTACAAAAACTTGCATCCAAGGTGGAAGCAGATCACCATGGATCACATGTTCATATGTACTTGATCATCTGTTTCAGACATATTATTCCTGTATTTCACATTTCGTTTGCAAAATTAGCCTATACTAACTTTACACATTTAATGTGTCGCTCCTCAGCAGGAACGTCAACGCCAATTTGGAAACGACGATGGGAACCAGTGCGAATCACGTCCCCACAACCCGTAATTATCGCCCTGAGCGTACTTAATGCTACCTACAACGAAATAAATTTGAAATATTAGATTACAAAGCGAGAGGAATATGAAAGTATGCAGAACCTTTATTATGCAGCAACAAAGAAATAAATTTGGATTTTAGATGTAGAATGAACTATAAATTTAAAAATTAAGTTTTCAAAATGCAAAGACTACAAAAATATAACACCTTGAGATTAACAAATTTTTTTGAGGAACATTTGGAACTTTTTTTCTTTAAAAAAATCTATTCCACATTCTTGATGATTAAAGAATGAGAAGCAAACTGAGATGCGGGCTTCAAGAACAAAAAGCTTAAACAAAATGTTTTGGAAAGCTTGGCAACCACGTCTTTATCACCGTGCCATATATTTTTTGTCATATATTTTTTTGAAGCAGAAATCAAGTAAGAACTTCCATCACTAGTTCCATCACACAGAGTTATTTTTTTCTTTTTTTTTGCACTTCCATCACACAGAGTTACAATTCTGAATTTTATCATGACTGACCTCCACATAATCTTCATGTTTATTTGCGAATAGTGGTTCGATATGAGGCAGAATAGCAGTACACAGTGTTAAATTCCAGACTGCAGGCATATGATTGAATGCATCAATCAGTTCAACCAGTACAGCTATATCATTGGATCGCGCAGCTTCCATGATCGCCGCTTCACAACCGCGTGTTCGCCAACAGCGCAATACATCCTCCAACACCATACGTCGTTGATTCATTATCATTTCAAATTTGTTTAGGCCAGTGATTACATCATCTAAGCTGTATGGTTCGCTAGGTATTTCCTGATCTCGATCTCGATACAGCTCCTTTCGCTGACGCTGATGTTTCGTTTCGTCATTATCACGAAGACCACGGTTTTTCTCTTCCTGAAAATTGACAATTTTGTGAAGTGATGCCAGAATAAGAATTTTCAGTAAACTGTAAAAGTTAGGAGTTATACTCAGTGATACGGAAGTTTCGAAAATTCTAGAAGGATTAAATCTATTATATCACAAATCTGAAAGATGACCTTCTTTCTAGAGATGGAACATCGAATGTCCGGCATTGAATTGGTTACTTCTATTGTTGTCGCTGGAAGAAAACGTGATTCAACAGTTTTCGTAATTCATTTTAGAATAATGAAAGAGACCGCGTGAGATTTAGACAAGGCTTTGTAATGTAATTTAGACATAATGTGAGCTAAAATTCATTACCGTAAGAATGTGTTCCTTTTCGAGATGATAAATTAGATTGTGATGTGCCCAGGATTATACCACCCGCTTTTCGCGTACTACTTGCAACTTTCGAATGTGTCAATCTAAAATTAGTTGTAAGATGAAGTAGAAGCTACTAGCTTCAAGTAACTATCTAATTTGTGTATCTAAATAATTTACTACTATCTAAGCACTTGAGTCCATCACCCTTAATTTACATATGTAGAATGTACAAATGAATTGGTCCAAAGTAAATGTTATTTCTCAAATAGCAAGTTATTTGCAAGTTATTTAGCAAGTTATTTAGCAAGTTATTGTTGTTCAGAGAAAAGTTATCACTATAATCCCAGTATACAAATTTTATGTTCTATTGATGCCGTCTACCGTCTACCTGTGAAGTCTTTTATCCTCAAAATTTCAATACCAGTACAACAGTTTCTGTAGATGAAAAAGTGCCAATACATATAAGGAAGGATTGACCAGTTTATTTAAACTTGAAGTTCTCCGTATCAGTAATGTATAAATCTGCAATAACTTACTTTGAATTTGTGTCATTTCGCCTAGTTCTCAGTGTTTTTGCTTTGGTAGGCATAGATATAATCGTAGCCAGCGGTGCAGTTGTCGTAGTCATGGCAACAGTTGCATTCTGCAATGAGTTCTCAGTGAACAAAAGTTCGATTCTTCATCCATATATATATATATATATATATATATATATATATATATATATATATATATATATATATATATATATATATATATATATATATATATATATATA